GTTATTTCCCCTGTATCACAGAACAAAGAGCCCAGCTTCTCAGAAACAGAAGGCCTGCAAAGCTATCATTGCACAGATGGAAAAACTCAAGGGCCCTCCACCCTTGACAGTCTCCCATTTAACTATGAAGCCCTGATTCTGTTCATAGCCTGAAAAGAGAAATCCAATTCTATTCGAGAAAACTGGCAGGTCATTTTTCTCCTTAGAGAAAATGGACTGCACAAATTATACACAAAAACCTAATATTTCCACTAGTGGTTGTTGGAAAAAAAATAAAGCTTCCATTAGCAGCCCTTTGCCCACAGAACACTCTCCAAGAAACTAACTGCTGGATTTGGGTGGAAGCAGAGCCCTGGTCCCCACCGAAGAAACATCAAAATTGTAATAAAAACCGGCTTTCTGAAATGAAACTAAGCAACTGCTACTTCACGCCCACATGCTGCTGGAGCTCATTCAAATACTCTCAGCTGACTTTGTTTCAAAGGAAAATGTTCAGCTTCCTGGGCAGTGGGAGGGGGCTGATTCACCCTGTCCCCTTGCGTCAGAAGTATGGGCATATGCAAAACCGGAGGGGCTGGACATGACTGCTGAATTCGAAGATTGTCACAATCAAAGGAGCTGGCACTTCCCCACCATCTGTCACCTGTCCTCATCTCTCAGTGCTCAGATTAGAACTTGTGATGTGCACAAGGACTTCATATTTAGAGCTAGTTCTATATGGCTTGGTAAAGGGGACACAGGAAGAGGAGCGGATTACAGGATGATGCCTTCTCTCCGTGTCACAGGGGACTCAACCTACCCTTCAAGGAGTCTGAAAACAGTAAGAGCTCTTAAGGTGATTAGGTAGGCCAGGGGGCACACCACGCCACTTCCCATCTTTCCACCAACAGCTACAGAATTAGAAAACTAAGGAGATGACAAGAAGTAAGCCCACATTTGCCATATGGTTTTTCAGAAGAGGAAACAATCCCTCCCCTGTGCGCGCATGCACACACACACACACACACACACACACACACACACACACACACACACCACACACACTGCCACTTCCAAAGGATCTATAACACACCAGCCAAGACAGCAGCACATTGCTGGGTTCTGTAGCTCAGTGACTCAGAAGTCACTTTGCTTGCCAGCATATTAAATGTCAAGTGGCATTGCTCTGAAAAGACATTTCTCCTGGAAGCCTGGTCCTGAGTTAAGTGTCTCCTGAACAAACAAGGCCTAGGTGTTAAAAAAAAAAAAAAAAAAAAAAAAAAAAAAAAAAAAAAAAAAACTGCTTCCTTGTAGATGGGCTGCCAACCTGTAAGGAGTACCACACACACCCAAGAGTACCTACGAAGCCTACGTCACGGAGACCACATCTAGTCCTCTGTAAATAAATCCCCCAAGAACTCCCGCAGGAATCATAAATACCACTTGAAGAAAGAAAACAACAAAAACCAGAAACACTCAGGAAACAGAAAGTAAAGATAGTATCATCAGTGATGTTTTGATGCAGGTATACCATGCAAAGTTTAGAAGTTAAGAGCACTGATGAGATAGATGCCCAGAGTCTGGAATGTACAGAAATGGATAGGTCCCAAGATTGTCATAATCAAAAAAAGCAGTGCTTGTCCATCGCCTGTCACCCATCCTCATGCCCCAGTTCTCAGATTAGAACTCAAGTGATGTTCAAGAGGACTTCATAGTTAGAGCCAGTTCTATACAGCTTCGTTAAGGGGTGAGGGAGTGGGCAGGAAGAGGGAGCAAATTACAGGAGGACTAGGTCTTCTCTCTGCGTGTTCTGCCTCTGTCTCTATCTGTCTGTCTGTCTGTCTGTCTGTCTGTCTGTCTCTCTCTCTCTCTGTCTTCCCCCCCTCGATTTTTTTCATTTAAAAGTAGCATAAACTCTGTTTAAGGTAGCAATATAATTGCTGAGTGTTTACACCTCTCACTCATACAAAGAAAGCTTGACGGCAAGAAACACTCTGCAACCAGTGAGTATTCCGCGCAGGCCCTCATCACGCAGAAAGCTGCCCACAGAATGGAATGTGCTCTCCTTTTGCCAACGTGGAAGTTGCCCAGGGCCAAGAATCCTGTGAAACTGTTGCTCAGTATTCTCAAGCAATTAAATTAAAATAATAAAATAAAACATAAAAGCTCAACAGGAAGTTTCCAAAGTCTATTTCAGTTTATCAATGGCGCACTCACCTTGAATTATGTCATGTCTTGTAATGATCAAAAGGAGTAAGGTTTACCCCTAGAGGGATGTAAGATGTTGAACTCCATCCCCAGAAGTCCAAAAACAGATTAAATACTGGCCTTTCCAGTTTTGAGGAATATTTTAACTCAGCTGTGAAAGACTAGTGATGTAGAATAAATCCAGAATTCTGTCTAGGAAGTTGGTGAGATGAGATATATATTCTTAAAATAAGAACATGGCTATGGAGAAGATAACCCAAGGAAAACGTTTCCACAGGAGGCTAATAACTTACTATTTTTACAGACTTTATTTGCCTTACTTTTTACACTGTTCAACCAAAGTCATTTCTTCATAACACCCATGAGAAACTCAAGGCATAATGGTATTCATCTTTGTTAGTGTCTTCAGAGTTTACTAGGGTCACTGTGGGGAATGAAAGCTCTCCCATTGGAGAACACAGTACAGACGAAACATTCCGTCTGAGATGGGTTCTCAGGTCTCTACATAAACAAAGCAACTCTCACTCCCAGAAGGCATTCCTGTTGCCTTTGTGGACTGCAGAGAGATCAGCATGGAAACAGGAGATTCTCAATGAGCCTTGACCTGAGTAGTCATGGAGAGAAATGAGCCTTCTCCTGAATGTTTGCAGTAGGAAAGGGCAGAAGACTGGCAGGATACAGGATGGGGCACACAGGAGATGGCAAAGGACCGCAAATAAGCTGGGATAGTTCATATTTGAGGAACAGCTAGGGCTGAAGACTTGGGACAACTTAGAGAGAATAAAAGCTGTTGTACTGTGTTCATAACATGCCAGACACAATGCTAACATTTTCCTTTCATTTACTTTCTAATTTAATTGTAATGACAATGTCAGTGCTCAGACCCTTGTCCTATGAGCCACACTCACCCCCAGTTGCCCTCACACATCTCATAGTGTTAGTGCCATTTGCACGCAATGACTCCAAATCACTATTTCAGCCTGGACCAATATTGCTTCCAAGCCCCAGATTCCACATGTCTGACTGTCTATTTGACATTTCCAACGACTATCTAAAGGATATTTAAAGGTATCTGGGATCAGGACCTCCTTTCTGTAATCCACCAAAGGTAAACAGAATCGCCCTGCTTCTCCATGTACCTTCCAAACACAGCCAATGGCCTCCACTTCTTGCCACCCCCACATCTACCATTTGCCTACCATTTTCAGACTGGGTCTCTGCCCCAGCATCCTACCGGGTATAAAGGTGAACTCCCCACACATACCCCCAGTGATCCTCTGAGTCTATGCATCCCAAATCTTAACATTGTAAAGTAGGCTCTAGTTAACAATAACTATAGAGACTAAACCAGGGGACTCCTTCAACAGCAGAAACAACAGGTGTGGAGAATGACTCCCAGAGGGAAAAGAGTATCAAAGAGAGAATGTTCGAGGACACCACAGAAGGACAAAAGAAGCCAGACTCTTCAAAAATATCGCCTCAGCTCCAAATGTCCCCTTTGTTCTCTTCCTGATCTTCCTTCATAGGTTCAAGGCCTGAATCAAATTCAGCTCCTTTCCTGAGCCCCCAAGCACTTTGAATTCAGTTTGTGTTGGCAGCATTTGACCCAGCAGCAAGAGTTTTGAATGCTTAACATGGCATCATGGGAACTGTATGGGCAGCATAAGAAGGAAGGGGATCTTTTAGAGTAGCTAGCTAAGTCTTTACATAGGAGGCACATTTCAGAGACAGAAAACAGAACTGTGTTTATCCCAGAAATAATAGGGTAGCCTATTAAGTAACTCCAGTCCTGTGGGAAGACTGGAGGCAAGGCAAGT